GCGGGGGGGGGGGGGGGGGGGGGGGGGGGGGGGGGGAACGTTGAAAGGTACCCCCCCCCCCCCCCCAAAAAAAAAAAAAAAAAAAGAAAAATTGCTATAGATCTTTTCATAAGTTTTGAAAAGAGTATGCCTAGGTGAATGTGGGAAAATCGTTGATATTTAAATAATTTGTATTGAATTTTATTTCATTTTGTACGCCCTTATCAAAAAATGGCACATGCCAAAAGCCATTTTTGCTTGTAGATATGATCCGCTACAGACGTCATAGTCCGAGTTGGTACCAGCGCAACTGACGTATTACAGCAGATGGGTGTAATCATGTTTGTTTAACACATAGTCCAAAACTGCGTTCACAAAAATGCAATTTTGACTGAATATAACAAAAAGGTACTATCAAACGACCAGACTGAGTGAGAACCTTATAGAACAAAAGCATGCACATTTTACACTCTAATTATACTAGCCTTCAGATGGGTAATTGCTTTATCACATTCGTTGAATTAATCTACATTTTAAAACCTTGCATAAAAAGTTGTTAAACTTGTCAATGCAGCCATCATAATAGATCAACTCTGTCAATATAATGCACCAGCAACATATGGGTTCTGGATATTAGATTTTCTTTCAGACATAAGTCAATATATAAAATTGCGCATGAATTGCCTGCCAATATTATCATAAATACTGGCGGCCTCCCCCCCCCCTCCCAAGATCTGCGGTTCTCTCCATTACAGGTTGCAATTAAATTGTAAAAGTGCTATGTGCTGTGTAATGTGCTGATGATACTGTTATCTTAGACATAATTGAAAATAACGATAAGTCAACATATACAGGTAGAAATACTGTTCAGTGTGTTGACAAACGGTGTTATAAACATTATTTGCAATAAAATGTAGGGAAAATTGAGAAAATAATTTCTGAGTTTTGAAGAAATTCGCCCGTAACTATTATCGGTGATAATGTTACACTAAATGAGTGCACAGTTAATGAGTATAAAAACTCCACATGTGCATGCATTTTAAAATATACCTTGAAGTGGGAAAAGTATGATTCAAAGCAAGCAGAGAAAGCAGATGCATTATATGTTCCGAGCCAAGTTTATTTTTCTTTTGTTATAGAGAAAATTATAGTGTTTTAATGCCTCATAAGATAAAGGTTGAATCTTGATACAGATAATGTGCCTCCTGGCTTTGTTCCTGATGACCAGGGCTGCCGCGCCCTTATGCCCAATTTCACGGTATTCAAGTCCATCGTTCCTTTATATTTTGAACCATGTGGCTGGCTTCCAACATCAGGAGGTGGCTGTATGGAAATCAATTATAATGGTCAGTTAAGAGCTGCACTGAAAGCTGTGCAGGCAGATATTCGTTCCTGTAGTCAGAAACACGGCGCTGATGACACCCCCATCACCTTTGTCGTTGAAACATTAGTCAGTCTTAGCGGGAGACAAGCCCACTACGAGGAAGGTCGTAACATGATTAATCATTTGCAAGCACGGATGGAAAATGCTCTGCAAAAAGTGCAATTTGAGATATCTGGAGGGCCTATCGGTATACGTTTAGGATCGTTTTCTGCCTGCAAAAAGAACGCCACGCACCACGGCTCCGTGACGCCATTTTCTGGCAAGACACCGAACACAACCCCGAAGCAGAACCGAGGAAACATCGATATCGGTAACGTTAGACTTTTGATGTTGATGGCGATGGTGGCAGCGGTGAGGGATTACTATTTAAAAGAAATTTAAAAGTGCAAGTATAATTTTGTTAGGAATCAATAACCTTTACAGGAATGGAATTTATTTATGTAACAAGGATCGGTTTAATTGATTGATTTAACGATCTAAAAGTAAATTACCTTTCATGACGTCAATTACAGCCGCAAATTTGCATTCATGGTCATTAAGTTAAAATAAAATGTATACATCTTTATGAGGTTTGGCAAATATAAAAGTGGTCTTGGCAGGCCCGATACCAATCACCCATATTGCGTTTGTCATTTTATTTCGTTGACTGATTTTGTAGTACAATTGTCGGAGGAATTAAATTATAAACTTTAAATATTTACCCTATACTTAGATAAGGCGTGACACAGTGGCAAAGATATCACTTAAAATGCATTAAAAGTCAAATTTGCCGCCTAACCCGACCTTACGCCAACATATCCCGCACGCAAATGCAGTAGTTTCGAAGTAGCAAAGAAGCATTAACGCAGTAGTGGTGTGGAGCATATTTGCAGTAGAAATGCAGCATAGCCTACTGCAATTCTACTTCAAAAATTACATAGGGTTGTACAGAGGAACAGCATAAATGCAGTAGATTAGCAGTATGATAGAAGCATGTTTCAAATATGCTAATTAGCTCCCACATCGAAGCAGATTTGAAGCATGTTTACAGTATGATTGCAGTATTCTACTGCGCTGGAGTATCTACTTCGTTTTCGTGCGGGATAGCTTCAAACTGTATAACTTAGAGAAATAGTACAAAAGAAAATAGTTTCGTATTTCACGGAAATTGATATATACACGGGTTTTTTTCTGGTTGTTTCTATCTATGCTTCAGCAGCCTCATTTGAAGAAGTATGCGCGGGCAGCAATACCTACGTACATGTACATCCCCACAAGGGAATAAGAGTGATGATTATGGAATACACTCGTGGTACTATGTCATTTAGCGGACGTTTATGAACTAAAGGGTCAAAAAATAGGACAATATTCGACCAAAAATTTGAAGAAGCTACATGCATTTTTTTTTTGGCTGAACGAAAGGTTAATTTGGTCCATGGCTTGGCATGTCGACTTAATTTTGGTTGTATAAGTAACAAGTGGCAGTGATTCATATCTGTTAATTGAAATCCACGCTGTCTTTAAATGTTGGGATATGTGATTAAATGTTAGATTAAGAATTGCACAGACAGAAACCTGGCTTCACATGGCTTCGCGCAGATTTAAACTTTTAGTTTATTCTCTGCTTTGCACTCTCTGTAGAGCAATTTAGTCTCTCAGATTTTTATGCACTTAAATTTCTACCCATGTCATTATCATTTTATCATACCTTTATATGATACTCTTAACCTGCCTTTTACATGTGGATATTGGTCATTTTATGGGCAGATCACGAATATTTTAAACCAACTACTTCGCATGAACATGACAGTAAATTATCTCATCTTGTAATTTCCAAGTATTAACAGGCTAAACCCACATCTGGTGCATCATTTTTATGATCTAATTAAAAAGTCTTTTTAAACACATGTAGGCCTACTAAAAAAGATAACCCCCCACCCCCCGGCCACCCTCGTTGCACTTAACGTGATTTTCACTGTAAAACATTACCGTAATTACCCCAGTAATTAACCGTGAATATTAACGGTAGTGTACCGTTCGCGTATTTTGCGGTTAGATACCGTGAAAAGTCTCGCTTAGTAGTAATTTCCCTTGATGAATTACGGGAACGTTCCCGTGGCGGCTTCTTTGACTAGACAACCGCAGGGGTGATCTAAGGGAGGCTGAAAAATGGTCATCGTCTAATCATTTTCAGGGTATGTACGCACAGACAGAAAACCGTGGTTTGTGGGAACGTTACTAAGGAAGCCACAGGGAGTACTAGTGCTAGTAGATGCCAGTGCGTAGTCTTGAACAAGAACTTCGATGACGAATTAACGGCTCATTACACACACTGGTTATAATAACAGCCTAGTGTGTTCCACTGGTAGAAAGGGGACTTCTATGTACCATTTAGACATATTTTGTGAAAAACTATTGTTTATGGACATAAATTTCTGGCTATTGTGGCAGTTAAAGAATGGATGAAGCACCTATTTTATAACAGCTAGAAGCCAAGGCCTGACATTACCCTCTGTCCGGCCACGGAATGATTTTGCGCTAGATATTTACATGTAATCATAATTGTCCTTCTGATTTTACATTTATTTCTGGACTGCAATTTTTTTTTTTTTTTTTAGATATGACATCGGCATTCCTCTAACCTAAAGTAGAGAGTTCAGGTACGTACACAAAAAGTTCATCTCATATAGTACTCTCATCAATCTGCCTGTTGCCATATACATAATTTATTACTTGACCTCATCTGAGACACAATTTGAATAATTATATTATAATAAATGTACATATTTTAAAGGCCCATTTTACATTTAAGGCAAATACATGTAGGCATAAACGTATACCAGTACTGTTCTGTAAAATATTGGTACACGTGGCGTGCCTTTAATGTTAAATGGTAAAAGGAACCGTCACGCAAGCGCCGTGCATGTGATGAACGTCTTGGCGATAAAAAGGGCAGACGACATATGTAACTGACTAAAAACGTTGCTCCTCTCGGCTAGGACTTCGTTTTTGCCTTTTGCTTTATTCTTTGTTGCATATCTGCGTGGCTTGAAAGTGAGCTGATTTCGTCTGGAATACGACAGCCATTTCCCCCGTGTTCGATGTGAGTAAATTGGCTGAAGCCGATATTGTGCACCAGATGGTAGATATTTACTGTAAATGGCAGAGTTCCCTACTTGCTAGCAATTAAGTTTCACCGGCAGACTAAATTATTTGAAAGTGGCTGTGGTAGTTAATATTACAAGTCACCTTGCTTGTTCAATCCGCTCATGAATGAATGGGCACGGACCCTCCTAAGCGACAGGACACGGGGGGGGGGGGGNGACTAAATTATTTGAAAGTGGCTGTGGTAATTGATATTTCAAGTCACCTTGCTTGTTCAATCCGCTCATGAATGAATGGGCACGGTCCCTCCTAAGCGACAGGACACGGAGGGGGGGGGGGACCCTACCCTCTACCAGGACAACAGATTTATGTTTCACAGACACCTGTATGACTCTGGTTAAAAATACGGCTATTCTCTGTACTGTCGCCTCAAAGAAAACACCCATGCGGCCCTGCTTGAGCGTGGGGGTACCTCGCACAGATCAAGCTTGACCTCAGTTAGAAAGCTTTTTAGAACTGATAAAGCTGAAAGGTGTTGACCTCAAAACGTAATTAAGATACAGTATACGAGTAAACTACAATTCCAACTCTAACTTTTGTATAGCTTTGTAAATGATTTGAGTTGTTACGTTTACGTACCCAGTACATTAAGTTAGTGTTACTTGATGTCATATTTCTTTAATAGGGTTATGTACTTAAAATACGTGCCCTGTTAATTCTTGTTTAAGCCCCCGTTACACTTATTCTGAATCAGCAGGAATCAAGCAGAACCAACCGGAATGACTAAATTTATAAATTCATACTGCATTCGGGAAGAAATTTCAAATTGACCTAAATTCTTGTAAGAATGCCGTTGGAATACTCAGAATGCGCTTGAATCCACCTGGAATGGTTCATGCTCATTTCGGCTGCATTAGCTCTCAAATGCAACTCGAATGTAGTTGGAAAACTAGGAATATCAATAATGCTGTAAGAATGAAGTCAGAATATTTAGAATACACTTCGAATGCTGTACGAGTGTAGTTCGATTGCTGGCTGAAATAGGATTAAGATGCATTCGAGTTGCATTCCGGCTCATCCTAGCAGGATTTGAAGTGTCTTGCCATTTCGGTTCTCCCTCGAATGTGATCATATTTTTTCGAATGCCGTGCAAATATTTAGAATGCAGTCACAGTGCAGTTAGGAAACTTTTCAAATGCCTTTCGATAATTTTCCACTTGGAATGTACTTCGAAACTTTTTAACATGAGCAAAACATTTGGGCCGGCTACAAGAATGGGTAAAAATATTTCGAATCCACTCAGAATTTTTAGAATGCTCTTCGAATATCCAGGAACGCACAAAGAATTGTCTTTCCGCCGGCATTCTTGCTCATTCCGCCTCTAGTGTGACGGGGGTATTATAACACCATCTTCCTTTTATTTTCACACAGTATTTTTCTCCAGCTCATTAGTAAATGTTACAGCTTTCATAGAAATTTAATCAATTTTCTCCTTATCATTGCTGGACCCATTGTAGGAGTCCATGTTCCTCCCAACTCAGGTTCTTCTAACATTTTACTTGTCACTGATACATGGGAGAGGGAAAATAACAAGTAACTCATATGTTCAGTTCCAACTCTAAAAGTCTCTTTATTAAGTTCAAGCATTCAACATTTATACACATTATCTACAGGTAATCTATTTCCATGCCACAGTGGCAGCAACTGATTTAAATACTAATTGCAATGCAATAGATAACAAGTGATGGTTTCTACTTATCAGATGTGCATACATGCAAGACTGAACTAAAGTGAATGATAATAATGACTGATTATATAACAGTCATTCTTTGCTAGTGGTGCACTGCGGGGGGACCATAACAAGAATGTTATTTAAATTTAGATAGCCAACCAAATTCTCATGACATCGTTGTGTATGTTTCAATAACAAATCAAAGAAGCTGCATGAGCAAGGAGGATATTGTTATAAAAGCAAAAGAAGAGAAAAAGCAGAAAATATATCGAAATTACCCTCAAAATANCAACATTTTGTAACCACTAGCAAAGAATGACAGATAAACATAATATGTAAATGAGTGAGTTTATCACTTGCCTTCAGTGGACCTTAACACCATGCCTACAATAGCTACAGGCAGTAAAGTGATGTTTTTAACCATTTCGAATTAAATAATTTAGTTCTAAATGAATGGACAGTTGTTATGCTGTACTACTATAATGTATCCAAAAACCAAATATAAAGAGCTCTCTGTCTCTCGCTATCTACATGTATCTTTTTCTCTCTCTCTCTCAAACAAATAAATGGATGCATCGCTAATGAATAAATATTGCTTTCTTTTTATTTAGATACGGGTACCATGAGTATGAAGCAGAGTATAACAACAAGCAGATTACGTTGTGGATCAGCTCCCTATAACTGTATAAGCACATACACTGTACCAGTACTAGAAAGACTAATGAATGACGTAGAAACAGCTGCGAAAATGACACACAGATTTGAACGGGAGCAGGCAATTTAGATTCCCGCTCACGTGACCCACGTGGTACAAGAGGCGGGAAATTGGTGACCACTTATCAACCGGTTACAGGTACATCTTATCGTTTGGACAGCAAAGCGGATTCGGGAGCATGGAAAAGACTGCTTGTCATCTTCACAATGGCGCAGCGGGACTCTTTCTGTCAGTGCTGTCGGCTATTACACTGTCAGTGTCGGCACTTCTCGTCGGCAGTTTTCAAGAAATCTCTGTCCTCGTGTTTTTGGCCTTCCAGCACGTCGTCATTTTCGTTTTCGCTGTCCCCGCCTGGCTTTGGATTGCTAGGCAACAAGATTTTGAGCGCGAATATCCCGAGCGAACAGACCAATTGAATGTAAACAACGGCACGAGGAATGATACAGTGGTCGACAGTAATGCTTCAAAGTTGTTCTACTTCGAAGAAAATCATCAGGAGACTAGGAATTCCCAGAGAAATGACTCCGAGGAGAGTAACTCCGATATTTTGACTTTCATGTGTGAGGGAGAAAAAGCCGATATGAAGAACTCTCAGGAAGTGAAATCCAAGAAAAAACAGCAGGATGATAAGCAGAATCATCATGGAGATATAATAAAAGGAGAAAGAAGATTACAGAGAGAAATATCTCAAGTTGGTGTTACGAATGGCATATCCGAGAGAAAATATGAAACGACCATAGCGCATTTTGAGAATGAAAAGTCTATGAAAGAGGTTACAAAAAAGCTGAATGAATCTAAGGTGGAAAACAATGATAGAAAAAAATTGAACTCAGACACTGAATCTCAGAAACAGAATTCCTTGAATGATAAGGAAATTATTCCCAAGACGGGCTTGAAATCAATAAAAGACTGCGTCTTCGTTGTTATTCGGGGCAGCATGGCGTATTTAACGGCGTGGTGTGCGTTCAATGCTTTTAGATACCTTCCAATAGGAGATGCCTCTGTTCTGGAGTACACCAACCCTATATATTCGGTCATTCTGGCCCGTGTTATACTGAAGGAACCGTGTGGCGTTGTGGAGGTTTTCCTTACATTGGTCATGTTAACAGGTGAGTCTGAGAGAGAGAGAGAGAGATCGAATTCAATTTTTTTTACCCAATAATTCTCCTTAACCAAATTGGCCCTATAAGTGTCAAAGTTTCGAACTGGGTCATTCCTCATAAAAATGTAACCCACACATTTTGTGTAACATCAACATGATTTTTACTTGCCCCATTTGTATATGATTACTTTTGTTGTTTAATATTTCAATGCTCTCCTTAAAAACGTGATAAAAACAGTTATGCAATTATGTTTCATACTTGTTGCTAAGTCCATATTTCGTTTAAAGTCAATTCGATTAAAAGAGCGTCTCTAATTTTGAAAAAATGTTTCCAATAAATGGGACAGTGACGAATTTTGTCAAAATTTTATTATTATTATTATCTTTTTCTTCAGTATATATTTTTCACACTAAAAAATTTGAATTGATATTTTATATTTTTTTCTCCTGTAGGTATAGTCCTAATATCCAGACCCAGCTTTCTTTGGGGAGACTCAGCCGCACTTAACCCGATAGGTGTCACTCTGGCCATAGCGACAGCCGTGACGTCATCAATTAACATGCTTTTTGGTAGAAAACTGAAGCATGTGCATAGTCTAATTGTCATAGCATCAATAGGTCTCTTTAGTGGCATTATTTCATGGATAGTTGTATTATCCAAAGAGGGCGTTTCATTTCCGGTCACGTGGTTGGATTGGTGTGCTGTCGTGTTGAATGGCGTCATGGCATTTACCGCCCGGATAAGCTCCCAGATGGCGCTGCAGATTGAGAACGTCGCCATCGTGAGTATAGTGCGTACTTCTGAACCAATCTTCGTGTTCACATGGCAAGTGACCATTCTTCATGTCATCCCAAAATGGACGTCAGTTGTGGGATCTCTTCTGATTTTGGCGTGTGTCATCGCTCTTAGTATAAGGAAATGTTCGGGTGACCAGGGAAATACTAATTTTGACGGCAACCAGGATGCTCTGTCGGGCAGTGGAGTTTCTACGCCCTCTGAGAAACATAAAGTTGTATTGAACAGTAAAAGGATTAAGCTTAACTTTCAGCCTTTGAACTATTTCAAAGATTTCATTTTGTCTTATCCGCAACCAAATGTGAACACAGCACAAAAAAAAGAATCAGAGAAGATAATTCGACACTGATTAACACAAAATTCTATTATGATAAACAGTGACATTAAATATTAAAAATTAAATAAAATCTTATGTTCAGAAGTCTGTTATATATCTTCTCAAAAGGTGGAATATGTTGTATCGTTACACGTAGCGGGTCAAGAGGTTGGGGGGGAGGGGGGCAAGTGCCCCCAACCGCTTCGAGTTTTGAAAAGAGTATGCCTAGATGACTGTGGGAAAATCTTTGAAATTTAAATAATTTGAATTGTATTTTATTCATTTTTTTGTACGCCCTTATCGAAAATAGCATGCACTAAAGCGACATAAGCCATTCTTGCTTGTAGATATGATCCGCTGGAGACGTCATGCATAGTCCAAGTTGGCATCAGCGCAACTGCCGCATTACAGCGGATGAACTGCAATCATGTTTGTTTAAAAACTAATCCAAAGCTGCGTTCACAAAATGCAATTTTGACTGAATGTACTATCAAACGCCCAGACTGAATGAAAGCTTTATAGAAAGAAAGCGTGCACAATTTACACCCTAATTATACGAATGTGTACCAGTCTCAACGGTTTGATGACCGTCTTTTGCAACGGCATTGTCAGTGTACATGAGTTTTTGGTCTACCCTGTTGCAAATACATGTGCAGGTTATAGTAAAGAAATAAATAAGTGGCTCCATAGCGAACAAGGTATAAACAAAGCAATTACATATCGCGTATATTTACATTTACATTTCATATGCCCTTCAATATTTGTGGACCCTGCATCCGCTATTGAACAGCTTAACAGGCAGAATGGTGTGATGCACTGGGTGAACTTTACTCACCTTATTCCCCGACCGTCATTAATCTTATCTGTCCCCATGGTTTCTTCATATCACTGTTACTCAGAACTTTACTCACGTCATTTATGGCAATAAAAATATTCTCACCTGAAGTCTCCACTTAAGCCTTTAGATGGGTAATTACTATACAATGCTCGCTGAATAAATGTGCATTTCCAAACCTTGCATAAAAAGTTGTTATGCTTGTCAACGCAACCATTATAATAGATCAACTTCGTCAATATAATGTACCAGCAACATATCGTTTATGGATATTAGATTTCCTTACAGAGAGAAGTCAATATGTTGAAACTGCACACGAATTGTCTGCCAATATTATCATAAATTCTGGCGCCCCCCCCCCCCAAGATGATGCATTATCTGCAGTTCTCTCCATTTTATATTTAAATTGTATGACAAGTTGCAATGAAATTGTAAAAGTAGTAAATGTGCTGATGAGACTGTTATCTTAGACATGAATGAAAATAACGATGAGTCAACATATACAGGTAGAAATAATGTTCAGTGTGTTAGCAAACGGTGTGATGAACATTATTTGCAATTAAATGTTGGAAAATTGAGAAAATAATTTCTNTATCGTTGAAACTGCACACGAATTGCTCTGCCAATATTATCATAAATTCTGGCGTCCCCCCCCCCCCCCCCCCAAGATGATACATTATCTGCAGTTCTCTCCATTTTATATTTAAATTGTATGACAAGTTGCAATGGAATTGTAAATAGTTATCTTAGACATGATTGAAAATAACGCTGCGTCAACATATACAGGTAGAAATACTGTTCAGTGTGTTAACAAACGGTGTGATAAACATTATTTGCAATTAAATGTTGGAAAATTGAGAAAATAATTTCTGAGTTTAGAAGAAATTCGCAGGTAACTATTATCGGTGATAATGTTACACTAAATAAGTACTCAGTTAATGAGTATAAATATTTATACTCAATAACCCTCAAGTGACCGTGTGGGGTCATTTACGACCCCAGCCATATGATTTAATGTGCCATCTCTTTATTTTTTATCCGAATTTTCTTTCCTAGTATGAGTTTGTCAATCTACTAATCCTACACACTTCCACAGTTTTTTTGCAGGGATCAACCAATTAGTGTGGCGTATACATGACAAACTCTTGTGGGGTCATTTATGACCCCGAAGAGAAGCGTTGGTTTTTAAACATTGGTTTTTAAGTGTTATTCAAATGTTCCACTTCTTATCTGTACTTTGTATTGTATTGCAATGCACCATGTGCTTCATGCAACCAGCCAGTGTTCCCAGAACATAGCCACAAACAAGTGGTTTGGGAAGATTATGCTTGAAATGATACTAATAGTACATCGCTGTATCTAATTTCAATAGCTTTGTTGGAACTTGTTTTCATAACTGGGTCTCTCATTTTGACTGTTACAATTTTCAAGTATTTCAGTAAAGAATTTTGTCGATATCATATAACACATATACAAACAAGATGTATGTTTGGTTTTTGTTTTATACACAGGTGTGGCAGTAACATAGGTAGATTGAATGTGTTCTGAGTAGGATGACTTCCTTACCAGGATTAGCGTATTCCCTAGTCAGAAAGTCAGCTTATTAATTTTATTGATGTTAGCAGGATGCTAGTTCAACATAAGTCAATTTTTTTCCTTAAATTGATTTTCTATGATGTGCATTTTCATTTAGTGTGGCAAAAAAAGAAAAATATTTTTGCAAGTGGGAACTAACAAGGGCTGTCTAAATAATGTTGTATTGTCGTTCTTAAAATCTGTGCTTGGTTATTTCTTGCAATAAAAGTATATTTTACCAAATACTTATGACATTACATCATTATAAAATACCTGTTTTAAATGCTGGGAGTTGTATAGATGTGATAAACCCCCATCCAGCCTTTTAAAATAAGGATCCCTGTACAGAGAACAATGGGGTCATAGATGACCCCACTTGGTTATTTCAGTCAGTAAAATAGCTCGGTCTCTCGGTTAACTAAGTATTTATTTAGTGTAACATCATGTTAAAACATATACATGTATTGTAAAATATGCCTTGAAGTGAGAAAAGACTGTTACAAAGCAAGCAGATAAAGCAGATGCATAATATGTTCCGAATCAAGTTAATTTTTCTTTTGTTATAGAGAAAATTATAGTGTTTTAATGAATAATGATATAAAAATTGTATTTTTAAGCCAAAACAACTGACACTCTTTGTTATGGGGTCTACAAATTCACAGATATTATTGGTAAACAGAGGAAAGTTAAGTTATTGCGTGAAAGAAGGTTCAATGCATGTAAATGTATTTGTGTAGTGTGCAGTTTATCTTACAGAAGTTGTGGGCTTGACTNTCACTTTGAGGTTCATTATATTTACCTATGGTGATGTTAAATTCAAAATCAAATATGTTAACTCGAATATGCACGGTTTACGACATACCGTCAGTACCACGATTTGACGCACTTTGTTCCTTTTAATGTTCGATTGTCATTTGTATTATTGTTCATTGAAATCATTAAAGACGTTCAACCTTTTTGGAAGAACAGTCATAATTTTTTTACCATTGCAGAAACAAATCGACTCTTCTCTTATACATGCAGTTTGGTAATTATGAAGTTGAATATTCTAAACAAAATTAACAAAGCTTTGACAATTGTCAAGAAAAAAGCAAATTGAGCCGATTGATTCACAAACTATTGCAAAAATATAGATCTATATTTTAAAGGTCTGTAATTGTTGGCCTCATATCCCTCTCTTTGCAAGTTTGAGAACCGTGACGTAGTTTGTTAAAAAAAGGCATACACTCTCGTGACAAACTTCCGCAAATTTTAATCGTCTGCCTCGTTAAAGTCTTGTAAAATACAATATATCAAAATTTATAAATCTGCAAGACGCAAGGTAACAGAAACCTGGCATCTTGAAAAATGCTCTTTTTGTGAACATTGCGGCTGCAGTATTACAACCATTACATTTCCGTGACAACGAAAGTGAAAATAATAAGAAATATCTTGTCTTCAAGATCGGGATTAGCTGAACGGACGAAAATGGATCTGACAACACCTCACTGCCTTTTCTCACGTGTAGAACCAAAGCTTGGATATTACACACTTGAACCCCCAAAGCATTACAAATGGCCAGTCGTTAAACTTTGTTTTACTTCCCTTAATGTGTGTAAGTTTATGTGAACGCCTTTATAAAACGCATTAAAATCATTGCATGGTTAGATGTGCATCCAACGTGTTATCATTTGGCTATTAGATTTTTCCAATGGAACGGATTCCCCCAACTTAATATGAATACCAGAGCGAAAAAAGCTGAAGATAGTTTGGGTACACTTTATAGAAAGAAAGTAATGACTGGTTACAGACCACAAAATATTTAATTATAGTGGAGTATTACCAACTCAAGTAGGTGAAAATTCTGGTCTGACACTTCAGAATACGGCCCCAGACAAATTATTACTTCGGCAATATTTTTATTGATTTTTAACAAACACATATATACATATTACACCCGTCATATGTTTAAGATCATTTTGAATTGTAACGACAGTTTTTATTTTTACAAGATTTTCTTATAATGTTTATGGTCACCAACTCTGTTTTCCGATTTTTTATTGTTATGTAACTCATTTATTGATGTTGTATGGTGCCACGCTGTATGAAACACGAAAGCAATGCTTTTTGTCTAAATCAGTTCGGGATAAGTATGTACTAGTTCAAGAAACAGGGAAATCATTAGTGTACAAAACTATTCTTTTTCAATATATTGCATTCGCCAGAATTCGTGAGCATTGTTTAGCTTGATGGGGCAAGTACTGTATATGGATTAAAATGTCTATAGAGATGTCGTTCAAACAAAGTAATAAATTATAAGCAAAATTAGCGGGCTGAATTGCAAATTGTCACTAGAATTGTAAATAGATTTGTTATTTAGAGAAGATGTGCATTGACAAATTGTCGCTAGAATTAATTCTACAATATTGTGATAATGTTTGGAGAAGATGTGCAATGGTATTCTTCACGTCGTATCCCCCTCTTTCCAAGTTTGAGAACGGTGACGTGGTATGGAGTAATGCGCATGCGCGTTCAGCCCTTAATTGCGTAACAAGAACAGCAATGGGAGATGCACACTTCCTTTACAACAAGTTCCCGAGAATAGTTGCATAGGAGAAGGACCTTCCTCTTAACGCATTTATCAGGTCTGCATATACCCTCCGATCCTTGAGCGTCCCAACAATTTCTGTGAAAAAGAAGGTTGATTGTAGAATTTGTATAAAAAGTTATTGGTTTATCAAAAGTCCAGATGCGCTTTTACCTATGGCGCACGACTAGTATACTCTTAAAAACTATTTACCAATTTTACTTTTAGCCTCCTTACACAATATAAAAAGAAACACTTATTTCATAGAATTTTCGACTTATTAAAATTGTACAAACGTGTACAAACAGGCAGACAGTTCAAACTATTGAGAAAATCAACATCTATAAACTGCCTTCCACCCACCGCATTTAATTACATTATATTTTTATCAGTTTCTTATTTTGAACCACTATCGTGCTGAAGACTAGTGGATTTCACTGGCAAAGATAAGTACAGAAATCAGAACTTGTAGACAGTTTTGAATATCCTGCACCAAGAAAAACGTATTGAAATCTCCAGCATTTTTATCTAGGTTTAAATATCTATTAACGAGCATTGTATGCCTACATTGTAATGTAAGTTTACCTCTGACCGCAGTCCAGTCTAGGAAAGTGCCAAATGGAGGGACACATCACTTCACATCCGTCATATTCATACACTGGACTGTACTTCTCTGGACATCTGTCTTCTCTGCAGTAGGGACTGTGATGTGGATAATAGCATTGATGTCAGCATTACAAATGAAACACACACACACACACACACATAATTAAAAATGAATATATAAATAAATCTACACGAGACGTGTTCACGCATGTCTCCAGTTTGTTTATTTGTTTATTTTTAATTGTGTAGGCCTATAAATGCTCCGCATAGTTGAGCTCTCTGGATAGCACACGTACGATATATATATATATATATATTATTAAAGGGAAAAATATTCCACGTTAAATATATATAGCTTCCAATTTTTTTCGATTCAAACTGCTTGCATTTATTGATTTATTATGTGTCGTAAATTAAATGTGTTGCCCTAATTCATTCATCGTATATCTTACAAATGTATGCACATAAGACCATCAAGTGTCCCAGCAACGTGGTGCACGTCTTAAAAATCTTGAACATTTTTCCCCAATGTTGAGTACTAAATATATGTCGGACATCTACTTACCACATAGGGTTAACTCCATACTTTATCAGCAGGTTACTGAAAAAAAATATATATCCATTTGTTATAATGACAACGCTATATGTAACAGTAATGGTGTGTCCATTATATTGATAACGATAAGTAATAAGGTAATCCTCTATACCTCACATGACTATCACGTGACCCTGTAATAAGACCGAGAGGGTTTTTAAATTAACATACATAGGAGAGGAATTTTAAATAAACCGAAAGCTAAAATTGACGAACAATTCGTTGAATATATATATATAGGGTGAATACATAGGCCCTTTTGTTCACAAATAAGATTTCATTCATTTATCAAATGGATCAATATTTACATTCAAGATGAACTGTGGAGATACATTTTCTCATCCTTCTTTACATTTCTTTTTTATGCCCCTCCTCCTACTCCTCATTATTATTATTATTATTATTATTATTATTATTATTATTATTATTATTATTATTGGTAATAAATATTTAGAGATAACTCACTAGCAGTCCTTGCTCAAGTCAATGTCTGGACACTGGGTATAACAGGCGACCACTGCCGCTAGTAGTACCACAAGCACAGAGAATGTCTGAAATAAATGGAAGGAAATGCTGGTCACAAATAAAAAATGGCTGAATAAATAAATTAATTAATTAATTAATTAATTAATAGATAGATAGATAAACTTCCAAAAGTGGATTTTGCGGTATTGCGACTTTCTTGCAATGCATAAACCCTCTACCAGGGTCAAAGGTTGACTTTTCACATGATATTCACCTCCGCCAAGGAGGTTATGTTTTCACCCCTGTCTGTCTGTCTGTTTGTTTGTTTGTCATCAACTTAACTCAAAAAGTTATGGACCGATTTTGATGAAATTTTCAGGGTAGGTGGGAAATGGGTTATCTTAGAAGTGATTAGTTTTTGGTGGTGATCCGGATCAATAATCAACCAATAATCAATAACAATCAAAATTCACTGCCTTGGCGGAGGTCTGCGCTCTCGGAGTGCTTTTCTAGTTACAATATATTTTCCCCTGGAAAAAATGCAAATTTGGCCCAATAAGGACAGTAAACTTGTCGAAAAAGGTGGAGAATAATAGAAAACGCTTTTAGATTCTTTGTGAAACACATTTTAGGCGGCTACGCGAAAAAGATCGGTTCCAGACTTGCGTCCTTCATTAAATTGGTCCTACTGCTCGGCAATGAGATTTTGTTTTCGGAGATTTTGGTGCTGAATAACTCATTTTGTTTTATTTAAACTGCCATCAAATTGTTACTATCCATCTAATAGGTGTTTAAAATCATTCCCACGCTCTATTTAATTCATCAATGGTTACCGATTCACTAAGTTACATCTGATCCTAATTTAACCTTCTTGTTTTACCTTTATTGATCATTATTATTGTTGTTGTTTCAGCAACATTGTTATGTTGTAATTTTTTTTTTTTTTTTTTTTTTTTTTTTTTTTTTTTTGTAATTATTTGAGAATTTTCATCCCCCAAAAAAAATAATATTTTGTTTTCCTTACCTTCATCGTCAATGTCGCTTGCTTCTTGAGTGGAGAAGATATTGCGTCTGTCGCAGCGGTTATATTATGAGCGGTGTTCTGATCACGGCGTTTATATAGCAACGCCAGGGAACCTAATCCAAGGACGCAACAGACCGATTTGCATTGCGTGACGGTTGACCGACCTGTCTGTTTCAATTATCAATGACTTATGAAGCTGTGAACTTAGTAACTTCGGATATTTGTGGCTTAATTTAGCTTCACAGACGAAAACAAGTTGAGTGGAGATATTTTATGCACGTATCACAATCTGATCATTGCGGGAAGGGAGAGGGTGGCCGTGGCAGAGTTCACATTAGACATCTTGAGTTTGCATCTATATCGATTCAAATGCCATAGATGGGCCTTGTTGTCTGCATGCCACCATGTCTTGAAGAGAGAGAGAGAGAGAGAGAGAGAGAGAGAGAGAGAGA